AAACTACCGCCTCGACCGGTCCCTCGACATCTTCCAAATCCACCACCCTCGAGACGAATGGTTAGGTTACCACAGGACCGGGCAACACCCCGCTCTTCTCTCGCACTGCGGAAAACTCGTAGGCCTCGTCGAGCTTCCTATGCTAAACGTATCATACGACAGAGTAGTCCAGTATCTCTTTCCTCAACCTTCGAACCAAGGAAACACGCCAATTTTCCGATCTCGTCGAAACTTAGGCTGGTCGTGTGCGCAATGGGCTATACGTTGTCTGCAAGGGATGTATAATCTAGGATGGTTCGCAAATGCCCCGCAAGGCCTCGATCATCATGGAAACTGGGAAACTGTCTTTGAAAGTATTCGCCAAACAGGTGTGCGCTTCGAAATTTACGCAATGAACGGCTATAGTGGGCAAGTCAAATTCGTGAATGGTGTGCGGATTTTGCTCTAGCGTCTTGCAATTCATGTCATCTTCTCATTCTGCGACGTTCTTGCTTTCATATTGCTAATAACTTTGCTGTCCAAACCTCGCTGTGTATTTGTTAGCCGTCCTACATAGACGTAGATAAGTGTCAAGGCATAATGTATTTGTACTCAAACATCATCGTTCCAAGCAATGATATCTGTGGATATTCTTAGTTCTCAGGCGCAAGCAAATAAATACCAAGAGTGAAGAGAATGTACTCAAACTAGATTTTTGAATGACAACAAGGACAGAGCAATGAATTCCGTCGATGGAATTGCCAAGCGCGAAGCATCTCGTATGTGCGACCAAGAATTTTCCTCCGTATCATAACCTTCGACGAAGAAGATGACGACGAGATGGAAGTTTTATCACCCGACAAGCCACCTTCCTTATTTTCAGCATTCCAGCGACCCGACCGCGTCCCATTTCTTGTACTGGACGGAGTGGAAGCGGAAGCGGTCGTGTTCTGAGGACTACCATAGAAACACTCAAACAACCACTCCCTTCCCTCCAACTCAACGACATAGTCTGCCCATTCATACGGAGTGACCAAAATGTCCCCTGCATCGGCATCAGAATTATCTTCGTCCATATCCTCCGTCTGCGGCTTCTGTAATCTCTCTAGCCTCCTATCCAACACTTCATATAGCCTAATACGCGCCCGAGCGACCCTAGAAATATTCCCCGTGATGGTCGTCTGTACAGCTTTCCCAAACGGAGAATTTGAGTGAAAGATCGGGGTGGTACCGGCGATGGAAAAGACCGAATCTGAAGGAGAGGCAGGAGGTGGCACGGGAGGTATTCCCCCGCGAATCATAGGTTGGCTCGCCAGACATATAAACTCCGGAGCCCTCAGCTGCGCTAAACAATGCATGATCTTTAAAAGATCTTCATCGTTGTCGTCGGCATCATCCGCAGCGCTGTTCGTACCGTTAAGTGGTCGAGAAGACGGCTGGGGCTCAGCGATTTCCTCGCCATCGACGTCCATCGAGTCCACAGCTTGTCCCGAGAGCCGAAGAGACCGGCGTCGCTTTCTCGGCGATTCATCATCGATATCGACATCAGCGTCCTTCCTTGCTCGTGAACGAGACTGACTCCTCAACTTCTCTTTGCCCTTCCTCCGTTGACCGGCTGGTGTGTCTGCGATCATCAAGTCTCGCAGCACCTCCAACTCTTCCTGCTCGCTTGTCCGCGCCTTCCGTTTCCCTTTCTTTTTTGGAGACATGGACGGAGGCGGCTCCTTGGCAGCGCTCGGAGGATCCAGGGGCGTAAGCACGGGAAATTCATACTGCCCATCACTCACGTCAGGATCCCTGGAATACCCAGGTGGAATGGTAGACAGGAGTTCCAGCATCCTCGCCACTTGCATCTTCTGAGACTCGCTCATCCTATCCCATCGTGCTCGAATCTGTTGATAAGTTGGCGGCGGCTCAGTCTCATTAGCTCGGTTCCTCCGATAACCTTGAGAGAGCCAGCTTCCCAGATTCTGCAACGCCTTAAAACCATCGAAATCCTCCTCGTCTGCTTCAGCATCGCTAGGGATATTGGGTTCTTCTCGAATAAGACACGACCGATGCCACGCCCTCCCGCGCGGTGCAGTACACTCTGCTCGAGGACAAATGTGCATCGAGAGCGTGTCCTCTTGATACACAGCCAGCTTCAGTTTTTCGAACAATTGTTGACTGGCAGTCACTATCAAACTTTCCATATTGTTCGTCGAGGATTTAGCGAGTCCGTTGCGTGTTCGTTTTATGGGCGAAGTGGATGAGGGACGAAGAAGCGCAGATGCAGAAGCTACAGGAGACTCCACTCGGATAGCTCGCGATCGGGTACGTGGGGTGATCTGAGCGTTAGAACTCATGGAAGGTGTCGTGTTACGAGTGATTCTGACGCTGGGTTTAGAAGCGCTCTGAGAAGAACTGCGAGTATTAGAAGAAGGTCCCGGCGTAGATGGATTGACTGGAGATGCTGGAACTCCTTCTCCGCGTCCAGCCAATGTCTCGGAAATCAAAGAGACCTGGCTTTCTAGATAGTCCCCCGCTTCACGTACAAGCCGGGCGACTTCCCGCCCGATCTTTTGAGCACGGTCGGAGTCCGGAGGGAAGTATAATGATTCGGAAAAACAGGAATTATGGTTTGTGCGTGGTATTGAGGTGTTCGTCGCAGGTTTTCGGTTTGACTTGGATGGCGACTTTGAGGCGGAATCTGGTCTAGACGGAATCAGCGATTCGTAATATGATTTTGAAGCCTTTGCACTGAAACAGTTGAATTGAGAGGCGTTGGGCTGGAAAGGTGAGATATTAGTCCGTGCAAGCGACTAGAAAAGATAGAGGATGCCACATTCCAAAATGGGACCTCGAAGCGCATGACAGCTCAAACTTACAGATAATTGCTTCTTTGTGACCTCCAAGTCATAGCGATAGAAGGTAACAGGGTATTCATCCTCAGCTTCGTTCTTGGCACCGCTCGCAGCACGGATCCTGTCCTGAAGAAAAGTGAGATCCAGCATCGCTTCGCTGGGATCTGGAGATGAAGATGTTGAAGTTTCAGTGGAATTAATATATGTAGGGTCGAAAATAAATCTTTTTATTGGGACGACGTCTTTGAAGTCGAGATACGAGTCAGCTTCGTAAACTGTACTGTCATGAAGAATCCGTACCATCGATACAAGTGTGGTGAACGTAATCATACCAATCTGACAAAATCCGTTCATTCGCTGAGAGATGAGCAGTTGGGCTGTTCTCACTGTATCAATTTCCTCTCACTTACTATAAACCAAAAACCTTACAATTTGGGTAGAACACTCGAGAGATCTTTCTTGTTATAAAACCACTGAACACGGGCCCAAGCGTCCAGCTCTTCTATAGGCTGATCGGTTTGACCAGTTCGTATATCCTTGATGATGCCTAACCACATCAGACTCAGCGGTGGAGCTGGTCCGTCTTCAACTCCGTATCCGTTTGGAAGATTCGGAGGTAACACAGAAACACTTGAGAGATGTGAGAACGCGTCTCCAGTAAGATAAAGCAACATACCAATCGCCGACCTCAAAGAGGTGCTCAACATTTTCTTCGTCTGAGGCAGGTTCTGTGATGATAAACTTTTTGAATGGTATCATTCGGTCCCATTCAGCATCTGTTGGCGGGACTGGACTCGGATCCACCTGAGGTACTTTTTGCTTCTTGCGAGCCATTGTACATGATGTCGGACGGGAGTAAATTCAAGGTCAAGAAAGAAACCCGCGCCCCGAACTGTGGGAAGCGCCAATCACACGTGACATACGCGTCAAAATGACATTTGCGCGTCTTGCCAATATAGCATACGCGTGAAACAGCTTGAAAAGTTATATGGCCTTATTGGGCTTGTGTCTACTGCCGAACCATTCTGCACAGTTATTTTCTACTTTAAAGTGCTGACCAGGGGTGGCAGTGGTCATTTTCTTCACGAATCCCGAATACAGCTTCTTGAACTTCCACTTTGTCGTCAGGACTCAAGAGAAGCCCTGTACAGGCGATTATCCACTGATTCGCATGGCGTAATCCTGAACCGTTAATTGAGTCGAATCATCGGCTGATCAGATGTTACATAAGACTAAAACCCCTCTCGCCGCAATTTTTAGGGTCTTACCGCAAACCACCATGTCTACCAGCATTGTTGAAGGTCATCCTTGGGATGAAAGGGTTATGCGGTCGTTCGACTTGGCTTCTGGGTTCCTAGCGGATAAACGCAGATTTTACGGCGCATGGAACCGATTGCTGGGCATCCAGTTCCCCCAGCTTCCGACTTCGAAGTGACACCCCAATTCCCCACTCCTACCCGCGACTCTATAGACTTTGCAATCCTCTTCACCTCGAAAGACGTCGGGGTCCCGGTTGTTTTCCTTGCAATCAAACCACCCCGCCAGTTGAACGACAAATCTAGTCGTGCCGACGCAGATCGTGAGATGCGAATGCAATTGGGAGATTTTGGCCCTCCGTCCTCGTTCCCAAAGCTTCATGGCATATCTGCTTTTGGGTCCAAAATGTGCTTTTACACTTATGATTGTGAAGCTCGTAGAATTGAGCCTTCGTTAAAAGGATTAAACCGGGTTGAGGAAGATGTCACTCCCGAGGAGTGGTGGTCTGAAGATGTTCTGACGAATGAAGGGGCAAAGAAGTTCGTCGACCTCATGAGAGAGGTCAAAGATATGTGCATGAATGTCAATCTGGACCAGAGTCACCAGTAGGATCAGTCCAATGGCAAGTCTTTCCATAGATAGGACTAGTGTAGAGGATCGTTCCTGAACTTGGTTAGATTTACTCTGCCTACTGCTGTCACTAATGCTTTATGTACCCTTTTTCCTCCTTGTATGGCCATACAAGTGTATTCTATCTATTTTCAGAACGGTTGCGCTTTTATAAAGTGATGGATAATATGTTGTCCCTCCTCCAAGCGTACGTGAAATAAGACAGTTAGCTTAAGATATGGTTGAACCTAGAATTTCTACGATGGAAATTCGATGAAGCCACCAAAAATAGGGGGAAGGGAAAAGTAAGAATGACAAGAGTGGGACTTGAACCCACGCGGACATACGCCCATGAGAAGGAAGCATTTTCAGCTTGAGTCACACGCCTTAACCGCTCGGCCATCTTGCCCTTCAAACTTAGGCCTACAATTCCAATAGAACGAGTTCCAACGCTCTGTCTGCTCTTCGACATTCAATGAAGCTAAATCATTTGCTTATTTGGAGTGGCCCATAAGTTGAAAGTGAGTACATTCCACGAATACTATTCCTAATACAATTCCAAAATCCGGGTATGCGATCCAGAAAACACCAAATCAAAAAAATCCAAAACCAAACTTCTTCGAGTCAATTTGTTTAAGCGGGGGGGCAGAAGGTGACGGTGTAGCCAGCCGATTTGGATGCGGGGCAGGTCCAAAGCGCGCTTTCGCTGGACTCGTCGTAGGCATAGGCGTAGGCATCGGGGCATGCGTTCTCTGCGGTAAATTAAGTGGAGACACCGTCAGTATATGAATCCAGAATGTAATGCACTACGTACTGAAGTATGAATAGTCCTGCACGCCAGAGGGAGGGCAAGTCGCGGGTGTTGAGTGGCTACCCGTGCAGCAGTTGGCGGAATTCTCTGAAGTAACACATAAGTCAATGGTGCAAAAAAAAAAAAGCAAGTTCAAAGCTCTACTAACGGGGATTTCCGTCTAGGTTTGCGTCGCAAGCTGACTTGCAACCAACGGGGAAGCCGGAGGAGTCGAACGGCCCTTTAAGGGGAGCAGGGCCTATGACACGACGGAAACGAATTAAACCAAGAGCAGAGCGACGTACATCATTGACTTACAGTTGGGGCCGAGATCAACCGCACAAGTAGGGGAAGGGCAGCCCACGTTGTTGGTAATGCTTATGGGGAGATTGTATCCATCGACGAAGGAAACTGGGCAAAGTGATTTAAGGGAATATCGGCCAGGACGAGAAGTGGTTCAGGCTTACTGTCGTAGAAATCTTGATTTCCGCCGGCCGATAGAGTAAACTCCGCAAGTGAGGCTGGAGGAACGCCCTGGAACAAGACTGTTAGGTCCAAGTTAAGGACCAACGGCGATTTCGCTTACGGTACCAGTGGTAGGATTGCAAACCAAGCCACCCTACAATAAATACTTCAGATGTGTTTCAAGGATAGCCTGGTAGTTCACGTACATTGCATCCCCCATCAAGACATGAATTAGGGCCGGGGTTGGTGCTGAAATCGCAATTTCTTCGAGCCTGTGAATAGAGGTCAGACTTTTTTTAAAGGTGAAGTCCGATGCTAACCCATATACGGCCAGAGGTCCAGTTGTCAGGTACTGAGAACGACACGTGGGTAAATGCGGCAGCTTCCCAGCTAAACGAAAGTGTACATTGTTGAGTAAAGTCTACTTCTTAACGGAAACCAAGTGTTTTCCTACCCAGTTGTGAAAGCAGGAGAAGCTGTCGCCTGGTTCACACCTGTGAACATTGCGGGCCTTAGGGAGGGCTCCGTCAGGTAACGTCCAGACGATTGCTGTACCAACGTACCAAATGGTGAAAGGACATCCATTATAGACCTAATACCGAAAAGCCACAGTTAGAGAAAAGATCGAGAAGCAAAATATCGGCAACCCACCGTGAAAGTACGAGCAGCATCGACTGTAGTAAACAGACCAGCAGAGACAACAGAGGCGGCGACAGCGAACTTCATTTTTCAAAAGACGTTATCCTGAAGATAAAGCTAAACTAACAACCCAAGCTGTTTTGTAGATGAGGAGCTCCACCGTTGGTTTTTAAACGACTCCAGCTCATGAAGAATATCACCGTCATAATCAAATTAAGCACGTTTGCATCCTTTGAAGCTCCGAGTTCTTCAATAGGTTGATGCGCTGTAGAATATCACGATGTAGAACACCACGCGCGACGCAAGAGCAGTGATCTTCAAAAGATCCGAGCACCCAAGGTGACAATGCAAAGGAGCTGAATCGATACGGCATATTTGAGGACAATGTTGACAATTTTCAAGAATAATTCTACCTTCGAGCGTCTTGAGACGAGTGATTTTGAAAATCAGAATGATATCAAGTCCTTTACAGCAAGGCCTTTGACGTGCTGGCCAGGAGGTAATACAACAGAAAGATGTGTGGTACCGAAAATTTCCCAACGGGGAATCTGGCTTGATTTCGATTAATTCGCACCACGCGCTTGCGGCGGTGCCTAGCTCGGTATGTTGATGATGAGTAGCATGCGTCGTCTCCAGAACGTCCAGTAGTAGCTCTAAACAGATATATACAATTGATGAATAGCACGCGTCGTCGTCAGACAAGACGGAAGCCAAGCTGACCGTGAGATCCTGGGGTTGGGCTTCGAAGGCTGTCAGAAGTCATCACCCCAACTCCCTTTCAGACGATTCAGACACTCACTTACCTTCTAAGTATCAAGCGTATGGAGCTGAATATCACTGGGGTAAATACCTCGCACACTATGATAAGTCCGTCAAATTGAATAGAGGGCCATCCACTGCAGCGATGTCATAGAAAATGACAAAAAAAAATGTCCGCGGAAAAAAAAATTATGGTCAGCATGTTATTGAAATCAGGCGATAAAAAGCCTAGTAGGATGTTCATGATATTGTTAAAGTCCAAGACAGAGTTGAAGTACCGGCTCATCTGAAAGATGGCAGCTGAGGACCACAAACTCAAGCTCGATACCTCCATAAGTTCCTCTGACCAGTTTGGCGGCCGAGGAAATCTGTACGGCGTCATACATGACAATAAGACTCGAAAAGTAGAAAAAGCGAAGTTTAAGAGCAGTCAGTTTCGGTGTGAACGGGTTCTTCTCAGTCGCATAACTTGAAGGTTGGAGGGGAAGAGCCGTCTTAGATGCTGGCTGTAGGAGGGTTGACTGTACTGGTGATCAACGCGAGGCAAATCTTGCTCTTCCGTTTATCCATCCCTGTTTCATACCTCTGACCTTGAACTTTCCCGGCGTCAGGTTTTGCAAGCTAGTACCCCACCTCCGTCAGTGATTACCAGCATCAACAACGGGGATACCTGGATATTGTTGTACATTTTTGACATTTGAAAGCATTATATCTGCATTGACAAATGATGGTGAGATTGTCCCGTACCTGAGAGCGATAGCCCAACCCGTAAGTTGAAGAAGGGCCAAAACGCTTGCCTATGTAAATTGACCCATAAGTTTGAAGCGAGCACATATTTTTTATTCCACAAAAACTAGTCATAATAAGTACGAATCGGATCTGAGTATGCGATTCAGGAAACACCAAATCAGAAAAAATGTAATATCAAATTTCTTCGAGTTTTGTTCAAGCGGGGGGGCAGAAGGTGATGGTGTAGCCAGCCGATTCGGACGCAGGGCAAGTCCAAGTAGAGGTTGCGTCGTCGTAGGCATAGGCATAGGCATCGGGGCATGCGTCCTCTGCGGAAAATTAAGTAGAGCCATTGTTAGCATTTGAATCCTGAAAATAATGCACCACCTACTGAAGTATGAGTAGAACTCCACACCAGAGGAAGGGCAAGTCGCGGGCGTTGAGTGGCTACCCGTGCAGCAGTTGGCAGAATTCTCTGGAGTAAATCATCAGGCAAAGGTGAAGAAAAATGAATTAAGTCGAAATCTCTACTCACGGGGATCTCCGTCTAGGTTTGCTTCACAAGCTGACTTGCAACCAACAGGGAAGCCGGTAGAGTCGAAGGGCCCTATAAGGGGAGCAGGGCCTATAGCACGAAAGAAACGGATGTAACTAAGAGCAGAGCGACATACAACGTTTAACTTACAGTTGGGGCCGAGATCAACCGCACAGATAGGGGCAGGGCAACCCACGTTGTTGGAAATGCCGATAGGGAGATTGTATCCATCGACGAAGGAAACTTGAGCAAAGATCATTAGTAACATCGATCATGAAGAGAGGGAGCTCAGGCTCACTGTCGTAGAAATCAAGTCCACCGGCGGCCGATAGAGTGAACTCGGCAAGTGAGGCGGGAGGAACACCCTAGGTTTTGTTAAATTCAACTTTGTGAACAACAATTATTTTTCTTACAGTGCCAGTAGTAGGATCGCAAACCAAGCCACCCTAAAATGAGGATTTCAGATGTGTTTCTAGGATAGCCCACTAGTCCACATACATTGCATCCCCCATCAAGGCATGAATTAGGGCCAGGGTTGGTGCTGAAATCGCAATCTCTACGAGCCTGTAAGTAGAGGTCAGCCTTTTTTTTCAAACATGGAGCCTGAGGCTAACCCATATACGGCCGGCGGTCCAGTCGTCAGGTACCGAGAACGTTACATGGGTAAATGCGTCAGCTTCCCAGCTAAACGAATATGCACATTGTTGAGTAAGATCTACTTCTTAACAGAAATCAAGCGTTTTCTTACCCAGTTGTGAAATCAGGAGAAGCTGTCGCCTGGTTCACACCTGTGAACATAGCGGGCCTTGAGGAGGGCTCCGTCAGATAACGTCTAGACGGTTGCTGAAGCAACGTACCAAATGGTGAAAGGGCATCCATTGTAGACCTACATGAAAACCACATTTAAGGACAAAACCGATGAAGCAAAATATTTGCGACCGACCGTGAAAGTACGAGCAGCATCGACTGTAGTAAACAGGCCAGCAGAGACAACAGAGGCAGCGACAGTGAACTTCATTTTTCAAAAGACGGTTTTTTGAAGATAAAGCTAAACCAACAGCCCGAGTTGCGATGTAGGTGACGAGTGCCACCGCTGGTTTTTAAACAGCTCCAGTTCATGAAGAATATCACCGTCATAATCAAATTAAGCACGTTTGTATCCTTCAAAGCTCCGTATACTTCGATAGTTTGATGAGCTGAACAGTATTCCGCCGAAGGAAACCATGCGCAAAGCTGACCAGCCGGTAAAGCAAAAAGATCCGAGCATTCAAGGTTACAATGACGCGCTCTATCGATTCGGCATAGTTGACAACAACATTGACAATTTTCAAGGATAATTCTATACTTGTGCTTCTCTAGTTGAGTGATATTCGAAATCGAAATGATATTAAATCCTCTTAGCAAGGACTTTAACGTACTGGCCAGCGGGTAATACAATAGAAAGGTGTGCGGTACCGAAATTTTCCCAACGGGAACTACGCGTTTGCGACAG